TCATCAAGTGGATTGTGTGCTCGTTTGTCATCCAATGCTATAAAAAACAAGTCAAAACGTCTATTACAAATAACTGAAGTCACCGCAGACAGAACTGCACACTTATGAATGGAATGTAATCATTATAACAGGCAGTCCATTTCAAGAAATCATCATTAAACAACCGTGGCACTGAATACCGATAAAATCGGAGATAATGACTCCACAACTGACTGCGTTTGCAAGCAAAAAGATATTCTCAATGGCGCAGTATAATTACACTCCCTCCCTTCCGAATTGATTTAAACACGTCATTCAATTGCGTGTACTACACAGAACGATTGTATTGAGTAGCAAATAACACTGTAGATATAGCTGAAATATACTAATCCTCGTACCAATCACGTATACGTATACGTAGTCGTGGTCCTTCACTGCTGGCCGTATGAGGAAGCTAAAGCTCGCTCAGCGAGCTATGGAGAGTACTAAGTGCGTAATTTCTCTGCGTAATAGACTTAAAAATGAGGATATCCGCAGTACAACTAGAGTGACGGATATCAGGACCAGTACGTAGTCCAACAGATTCCGTTATAGTCCGGCCATATACGCATATGCAGCTTGAAGAACCGACAACCGATGGGGAAGAGAGGTTCTCGAGTGGCAGCCTCATACCAGTAGGCGAAGTGAAGGTTGGCTCCCACTAGATGGAGCGACGACCTGGTAAGACATGCAGGAAGTCAATGGATGCAGGTGGCTCCGGACCGTGTTTTGTAGCGTTCCTTGGGGGAGGCCTATGTTATAATGATGATGATGAATCCAATCTTGCTGTGTCCAGTTAACAACCTTATCTTTTGTACCATATACACAGTGGAATTATGTATTCTTGCTTTATGGCTTCTGTCCCAGCTCTTTATAGGTGAAGAGGTATATTAACTGTCCCGGTGAATTTAAATACATATACATATTCCAGTATGGCACTATGGACGCAAAAACCGATACTATAATAAGTATTGAGTAGTTGAAAAGCTTTGAAAGTATTCCTATTCACCAGGAACGAACTGATTGGGGAAAATATTTTTTTTCAGAGTCAAAATAGACCTAACAGTTCTTTTTTATAAATAAGGTTGACAAACGAGCACACAGTCCACCTGATGGTAAGTGGATGCTGTGGCCCATAGACATCTTCATTTATCCTCGATTAAGAATCAAAACGCATATGCGTTGACACAACTGAGGACTAAAATGGAATGCCTCGTTTCCAGTAAAAAAAGGGTCTTCGGATCTTTTCACTCACCATACGAAACACAGCAGTATTAAGCTGCTACTCTACAGTGTTCTGTGAGAGCGTAGTCCTTCCCCGGCCCAGCCGACACATTCGTGCTACAACCATAATATCGCTACAGCGTAGCTCTACCACGTATAAAATGAAACGTTTATAACTAACGGGCTTTCGTATGATGGTAACTGTCTACTACAGCCCTGTACATCTGCACATTCAAATAATGAAGATTACAGATTGCTTGAAACTAAACTGGATCTATGTATGCACGCACTTTTGAGTAGTGTCAGAAATAGACAAGAGTGTGGTTTTTACCCAGACGGACGCTAAGGTAGAAGAGGGATCCTTCCTCTTAGTAAATCTTAAGGTAACTGGCCACTATCATACATGAACACCTGGTAACTTCAAACAAAGAAGACCGCTTTAAACTGTAGGACTAAGATGTAACGCCTCAAACACTAATTATACTGGTTTTCTCACCTTTTAAATCGGAAGACAGCAATGAGTACGCTGATGCTTGCTATAAGGAAGAAATAGGTGTGCTAACCAACCCAGGCGGATTTCCAGGCATAGCATTACTAGTTTCTAAGTGAACTATACTTTAGTACTTATATTCTGATTGATTATTGTACTTTGTAAATTCAGAATATATAAGACATAAAAATTAAATGTCCTGGGGTCCTAATAAGATTTTTTTATTAAAACCTTAAAAAATTAAAACAAATCTTACTAGCCTCGAACACAAGCGAAAAGTGACCAACCTTTCGGTTTTCTACAGGATGCATTTCGGAGAGAGTGCGCAGGAATTGCATAGTTTAATTCCTCCCTCTCCCTAACACTAAACGGTTTGCTACGTCGTTCATCATGCGCACAGCAAAGTAGTGGAATAAGTTGACACCATCTGTCATTCCATCCGATAACAGTGTGTGTGCCTTTAAGGGAAGAGTGAATAGGTTTTTGTTAAGTCAGAGCGATTCACCATCTTAGGCTCAAGTGGTGATGCACTTACCATCGGGTGGGATTGTAGCTAAGCACTGGCTTAGAACTATTTAAAAAAAAAACTTTTATGAAACGCTATAGTGATAAGAATTGTTTAAAGACAAAAAACTTAAAACGGCAAAGACGAGACTGAATTGTATTTTGGTATATATGATATAGATTAATTCCCTAAAATGATGATTCGCTGATAAAAGATAATGGAGTTAAGGCGTTTGAGCATAAAAAGGAAACAATACACAAAACAAATTCTTTGATAATTTTCTTAATATCTACAGCGTATAAGGTTTCCAAGTTCCAGATGAACTTAAAAATCATCCGAAGTTTAACCATAAATACGGTCGACATCACGCAACTCTTACCGTTACTATATAAATTTAGTACCGTAAAATCTGATTGAGAGAAAATTGAAGAACGACATGATTGCAGAACCACGGGTGCACCAACTACGTCAGTGTTTATGAATGAACGACCCCAGACGCAACGTGTCGTTCATTATATGCAAATTCTTTATCGTAACATCGGCTTAATTGCTTTTGATTGTAGTCACAAAATCGCTTACATCCGACGTACGCATCTAGAAGCAAGGTGAATCGTAACATCTTCATGACTACTATGTGACATAGTTGAAACAAAATTATTTAAATACGTTAGCTAATATGTTTTAGAACCAAGCTGCTGCTGTAACAGGTATGGATCGGCTCGATTGGGAGAGAACAACGCTCGCACAAAATACTAACTTTATACTGGAGGACCTTTTTTAGGGTTCCGTAGTCAACTAGGAACCCTTATAGTTTCGACATGTCTGTCTGTCCGTCTGTCCGTCCTCGCTTAATCTCTGTGACCGTTAGCACTAGAAAGCTGAAATTTGGTACCAATATGTGTATCAATCACGCCGACAAAGTGGTAAAATAAAAATTGGAAAAAAATGTTTTATTAGGGTAGCCCCCCTATATGTAAGTGGGAAGTGATTTTTTTATTTCAACCCTAACGTGTGATATATTGTGAAAGGTATTTAAAAATGAATAGGGGTTTACTAAAATAATTTTTTGATAATGTCAATAATTTCGGAAATAATCGCCCCAAAAGTAAAAAACAAAGTGTCCCCCCCCCCTCTAACTTTTGAACCATAAGTTTAGAAAATGTGAAAAAAATCTGAAAAGTAGAACTTTATAAGGACTTTCTAGGAAAATCATTTTGAACTTGGATGGAAACAATAGTACCGTACAGTACCGGGAGCAGTTGCAGGAGCGCGGAGCGCTGCTGGAGCGCGAACATAATGGATACCCACCTTTAAATTCATAAGTGGGAACACTTATTGTGACGGACGGGAAACTACGGAACCCTACACTGAGCGTGGCCCGACACGCTCTTGGCCGGTTTTTATTACCTTCTGGAAAAAAATAGAGTGTAACATGTGAACGGAGTAGCCTGCGGCACTAATATTTTGGAAAAAATAAAAACAAAAATTTTGAATTTTTTTGTAAAATATCAGTGCCATAGGCTTCTACTCCGTTCACATGTTACTATCTATTTTTTTCCAGACGATATAAAAGGTCATCCAGTATAGTATAGTACGATTATAGTACAATGGTGCTGTGATTGTGAGATTTATTGTGAGTAACCTAAAACCCTCTTCACTAGTAACAAGGTATATCTAGGCCATCAGGAATGTAACGCATTGATATAGACATAAAGAGACTATGGGTCCCAGAAACCACTAACCATCAGGTGAAATGTGTTCCAATTTGTCACCTTCACCACCATAAAAAATTAAAGTACTTTACTTTAAGCTTGTTTTAAGCTTTAGTAAATAACTGCTTTCTTACGTATTTTATATATATTTTACGTATTTATAAAAACCAGAACATTTAATCCTTAACAGAGCATCGGTTTTTCGTACATAATGTTGTTTAAGTTAAATAATGTGTTTAATTTTTTTAAAAAATTAATTAATTAATGTGTCAATAAATTATTATTATATTATTATTAGTTAAGTAGTCAAGAAATTGCCTAAAAATTTAAGAAACTAACAAAACCCTTTCTGAAAGAAACAGAAATTAAAATATTGGCGGTTGCAAATCAAGTATTTATAATTGTTTTACACAATTGAATTCATTTTACAAGACAACGGAATTTAAATCGTGGTATATAGTTTAAACAAAATGAATCACCTAAATGAAATGAAAATATGGAAATTCAAATTCAAAGTGTAAAATCTTGTTATTTTTCAAAAGTCCCACAACCAGAAGCGAATTATTGTATCAAATATTAAAATGCTTAAACGTCATCATAATATATTAGAAGTTATATTATTATTATATAATACCCTGTACCCAGCCACGCGTTTCTGTGACTCAAAAAGTTTAAAAAAGCATGTGTCAATATTTCAAATTTCAACAATGAGAAACAGACATAAACATTTTCTAAAGTAAGTCCGTAACTATTGACAAATTGTACAAAAAAATCTTAATCTAAAAAAAATATCTTATTAAATAAATTTCAGCGGAAATTATCTGTCAACAATTAAACATAAAATGTGTCGCATTAAAGGTGAATACATTCCATGTGTGACGTATAATATTATATAATTTGTAAACGAAATATACCTTAAATTAGTTATATACAGCATTTGATTCGTGATATTTTTTTCTCTACAATACTAATTGTTTATTCACGTATATTACTTAAGTTAGGTTAAGTATCTAAGCGAAATTTAATATTTCAAATTAATAATAATACTTACTCTTTCTTATTGTTGACTACAATGACTAGCTTCACTTTCCGAGGGCCCTTGGTCATTTTGCATATGTCCTTGGTATTGTCCGACGGGCCCTGGTTCAGAAATTTTAACAGAGGAATGTTTCCGTACTTATATCACTACAGCCAAAAGGCCAGTCTTAAGGTCACCTCATAGTCATTTTCACTTTAAAAATCCACTTTTACTTCTTGAACACATGGTACTTCAATTAACAAATACTTAAATATATCACTTTTGTCCATTAATACCGCAATCAATCACTTTGAGCACTGATTAGAAGCACAACGTTCGTTCTCCAGACGATTTGCTGTTGAAAATATTATATCAGTTAAGATTTCGTTAAATCCGATTAAAATTTAAAATGTAATAAATGAGATTTTAGAATTGTTTAATGTTCACTTGAAACTCCATCAAAAACTGGAAACCGACAGTCGCCAGGTTGTGCAAATTTACACAACTATCAAATATGATGTAGATAAACGAGATATTGCTATCGGAGATGAACAGATAAACTCGATAAACACGAAATATAAAACTGGAGCGAATGTTGCCCCGGTAAACTATTTGGACAAAAGATGTTTTATTGTTGATGAGAGTATTAAAAATGCAAATCAAGACGCTGAAGGGTTACATAACGAAGTTACTATAAATGTTAAATATGACTGTAGCGCTCCTGGCGACAGTTGTTATCAAAATGGCACGTTTTAGCGTATTATCGAAATAACGTCAAGATGTTCAGATGATGAATGATGATGTAAAGCGACACTTCCCTGATAGTTAAGATAACATTTTATTGTCTTAGACTCGCTGTAAAAGAAAATTAAGATAGAACCACTTGTCAAATATTTATGCGATGCTTGTGGAATTTCGGTTAGACGAGTCTTCGTAAAAGCACCACTCGCCCAATAAACCGTTAATTAACCTGTTATCTCAATATTCGCTTTGTCACTGAGACGTTTGTGAAATTATACTTTTGTTTTACGTCAGTAGTATTACCATTATATGGAGCTAGTGAGATTGTTTAGACTAATCACAGCATGAATATACACGATCACATGTTAAAGAATAAACTTTAAGACTACCTAAATCTGAAAAGCAAACTTTAAGCTGATTCACTTTATTGCTCTGTTGTGACATTTTCAGTTAATTCTAAAGTTAACTAAAATTAACGATTATATCCCGTACATAAATACTTCCTGTTGAATCTCGAGTTGAATAACTATAAAATATTATTATGGAAATGTTAAGTACTTCTTACTTATATTATTACAGACTTTTTTTGTAGAATAAGGGTGACAAACGAGCAGACGGTCAGTGAATTTAGATCTAATCGTTACGGTAGATTTTTAAAAAATCTTTTTTAATTTTCTAAAAGTGTTTTTGACACCCTTTTTTGATTAATTCTTTAATGTCCATCCATCTATCTATGTTCTATAACATCAGCTCTTCTACTCAAAAAAGACGTCGATTGCTGTGAAAAAGTAAAAAAGTAAAGTAACAGCCTATATTCGTCCCACTGCTGGGCACAGGCCTCCTCTCATTTCTAACAGGGTTTTTGGGCAAAGGCGCTGCCCCAATGCGGGTCGGTGAACTTCACATGTCTTCGAAATATTTTTTTTCTTATTCCTATATGTGTGTTTCCTCACGATGTTTTGTTTAAAATTACAATTAACAATTTCATTGGTGCCGGCTGGGGTAGCCGGGTTACTCGCGTACTGATCGGGCCAGCGACATCAAAATTGATTGATTCGTTCACAGTTGAAATGTCGAAACTGTTTTTTTTTTTAAATAACTTGAATAGTTTCCGCGAAAACGAATATTTTGTATTAGGTTTTTTGTTAAGCTGTAATAATGCGTCGATTACCGCAACCCGCAACAAAGTCGGTTGATTCTGAACATATTACGACTTTTTGAGTTCGAAGAGCATTTAACATATAATATAAATGTAAATGTCTGTTTGTAAAATTCAATTTAATTTCATTACGTGGTAGAGCTACGCTGCAGCTATATTATAGTTGTAGCACGAATGGTTCGGCTCGACCAGGACAGGACCACGCTCTCACAGAATACCAGCGTAAAATAGCAGTTTAATACTAATCAAAAATTGATTAAATAATTGGACTATGTCTATCTATCTTTAAAACGCAGGCGAAATCAGGGTTGCTAATATAATAGAATAAAAAACATGTGTGTGCAGTTCACACGGGGTAGAAGTGAAGCCTTCAGAGAAACACTGTATAGAATGGGATATATTCTCTCGCAGGCTAAATCCTATAGATGTAAGTATATATTTTTCTCTTTTTAATGTCGTTTTTTTCGTTTCATCTAATTTCAAATTATGATTTAAAAGAAGTTTTAACTTCAAAAATGTGTTTATAAAATGTACGTTTAAGGTATACGTGGTAGGGCCACGCTGCAGCTATATAATGGTTGTAGCACGAATGGGTCGGCTCGACCGAGGAAGGACCACGCTCTTACAGAATCACCAGCGTAAAATAGCAGCTTAGTACTGTTGTGTTTCGTATGGTGAGAGTAGAGATCTAAAGACCCTTTTTTACCGGAAACGAGGCAATCCATCTTAGTCCTCGGCAACGTATCTGCGTTTTGATTCTTAATCGAAGATAAATGTAGATGTCTATGGGCCACAGCATCCACTTACCATCAGGTAGACTGTGTGCTCGTTTGTGACCCTTATTCTATAAAAAAAATCCTCCCTACTACGAGAGAAGCCAATAGACAAGATTCTCTACTAACTGTGTCATTGCATTGCAGTGAAAGACATCCCCGAAGATGTTGAAAGATGACCTCGGTCCAATTCTTTGAACAGTAATCATGAATACCTACGTATCGTATACACATGCAATTAGTGACGTTTAGTAGTCAATCAGATAAGTTTCACATTCAATGATTGATGACAGGAAATTAATATTAAATAATGACGTTATGACGTATCGTTAATGGTAAAACTTTATTTGAAATTAGCACTTTAGGCATACGTTTTATGCGTTCATAAACAAACAGACAGACTATTCTAAAAATGATTGAAGAAATGTAATTAATTGCTTATAAATAATAAGTTTCTCTCTATCATTTTTGTAACAAAAATATACAATGTAATTAAATTTACATTTTTATGTATAGCTACATTTTTTCCACAGACGAACTGCTGAACAATGTAATACTTTTCGTATTTAACATGTTACAACCGTAAACTTTACTATGTTAGGTACATACATAATGTAACAGATATTAGTGTTCATTTCGTTTTAATTTTATTACAACCATTACACTAGAAAATGTATAATTATATGTTTATGTAAAGTGAAGTGAAATTAAATTCTAAATACATTCCTCTGCAGGGCTTAAAATTCGTCTTTTTTGATCTGTTCTCATTTATCTTTAAGTACATGGAGGTTAGAGAACAGGGAGAACGATCGCTACGTGCTAAAGCATATCCCGCCAGTCCCTGAGAATTTCTAGAATTTGCAGCCGCGCTGCCGTCGGTAAGTAGTGTCTGCGAAGTATTTTTTTAGTTTTTGACAAAAAGAAACATTAAAAAATGGTGAAATATTATAAAGTAATAATAAATCAATAATAATTATTAATTTCTATTTGTAATAATTTATAATATTTATAATAATTAAAATTATTGAGACATCTTAGCGATCGCAGCGCCTCACTTATTTGTCCATATTTCTGGGACACTATTTTCTACAGCGATCGTTCTCCTGTTCTCTAGCCTCCATGGCTTAAGTACGTGGATAGTGTCTGTCTTTCCGTCCAATGACTATTTAGAAATAGACTTTTATTATTGAAACCAGTTCAGTTTATATTCCAGTGTTTTATATCACCATTCTCATTGCTTCATCACCACCTATCACCAGGTGTAATCGTATTCAAGCATTGGCTTATAATAAGTATAAAAACAACGTCAGCGGTACCTAATTCATTATTGTCGACTAGGGTTGAACCAGGCTTGCTCACGTATTACGAAATTTACGGCAAGCCTCTAACCCATGAACTATCAAGTTTCTTCTCTTATACTAGGCTATATTTCTACCACTACTGGTGGTGGTATGCGAGCATGGTCCCGATCGAGCTGAACCATGCGTGCTGCAGCCATATCGTCACACTGGGTCGTAGAACTTTTGGAATCTGAAAGCTCAGGGCTGAACACATCTGTGTTTTGTTGTTAATCGATGATAGATGTATATATCTACGCAAACTGGCCACAACACTCACTTACCATCGTTTGTCAACTTTTTTCTATAAAAAAATACGGTTGACCCTACAGGCCTATCACTACTATCCCTACAACTTCCCGCTAATTTAAAATACAAAGCGCTTCAAATTTTACTTGCTACGGTTCTCTGTTGGGTGTTCTAATGTAACCAAGATCATCTAGACCAACCTAAGACGACCTTGTTTACACAAATCTTTTAGGTTGTGAGAGCTTAATGTTCTGTGTAAAGATTTATACAATATAACGTAAATGAGAAACATCTACCACTATTTTTCTCAAGAAATGGATAAGGAAACGGATTTGCGGACTTATCCTCATCCTGCGGCAGCCCACGACTGGGCTCTTCCATCGGGCGCCACAAAAAACGATCTGCACCTTATGCAAACTGGCGCTGTGCTTAAGGAGGAGTCCTACATTACATTTGCATAACCCAGGTCTCCACTACATGCCTTCCCCAACAGTTATCGTTGTGAGCCCTCGCAGGGTAATTATGTAAGAGGAAACACTTTTTAATAATGTTCTTCCGGCAGTTTCCGTGCGTTACTTTATAGGAATCTCCTATTTTTCTAGACTTTACATTATAATTTGTGGAAGTTTTTTTTTAAATATAGAATAAGGATGACAAACGCGCACACAGTCTACCTGATGGTAAGTGGATGCTGTGGCTCATAGACATCTACGTATATACTCGATGAAGATAAAAAATTCAGAATGCTTTGCCACTCCTTAGTCCTACTATGATGGAATGCCTCGTTTTCAGTAAAAAGAGTCCTCCAGTTTTCTACACTCACCATACGA